CGTTTTGCCACGCCAGTGGTGGAGCAATGATGCACAAAGTGCTTGCTTTTCAGCACTGGCTGATTTGGTTTCGTTTTCGGGCATTAATGGATCGCTGTTAGCACTGCTGATTCCTAGCTCCCCCCACCGTTTTCATCCAGAAATACTATTTGCATTTGGATACATGCCATCATGCCAGTTGTGTTTGTGCTTAGCCGGCTGGTGACTGCTTGTCTTGCTGCTCTTCAAGACACCTAAGCACATTTGAAAAGTGTTGAAGATAATGATGGCAGAAAGATGAGAGTGTGAAGATGATGGGAAGATGCATTAGACGAGGAACTTAGTGAAAGCAGAGTGAGGATAACAATAAGGAGGCAACTTGAGCGAGGACAAGTTAAAAGTGACGAGGATGGCAAAACTCAAAAACAAAAATTGGCTTGCCTGGATTTCAGCTGCTTAGCAGATATTTCTATTCAACTACCTAAATGAACCTGTTTCATTGTCATTTGCACAGTTTTGTACGAAAAGCATGTCCAGCCATGAAAAGTTAATGCTCAGTTGCCTGAAGCTAGGGCCAGCGCAAGCGCAGTACAAGTGCAACGGTCGCAATTGTGGTGCCTGACCTTGATATCACCAGAAAGCCGACAGATGTCGCCTTTGAGCAGAGCCAAAAGTTTGAAAAAAAGATTTGAAGGGTGCAGTATAGAAATTTCCGAAAATACCTTAGCATTTTTTCGAATTTTGGCTGCGCTTGGAAGTGGGCTTTTTTGGTACCAAGCTTAGGTGCCGCAATTTTTCGACCAGTTTTCTGAGCCGCACTTGTCTTGTGCTTGCACTGACCCAACTTTTAGGCAATATTCAAAAATCGTGTTTTTTCGAAAAAATTCCTACTTCATAGCTTTAGCATATATATGCGTATATATATATATATATGTATATATATATATATGTATATATATATATATGTATATATATATGTGTTATATATTACATGCATGCACATGCACATTGCAGCAAAAAGTAGGGCTAAAAGCTATTGAGTTTTTTTCAGCGTCATTTTCCATTCGTCTTCCTTTGTCGTTCATTTTCATTTCTATTCTATTCTACGAGAAGAGCAAGAAAATTAGCGTGTTATGTGTTTCTACATTCAACTCATTATAAAAAATGTCAGTTGAGTAAATCTGAAGATACGGTGGCTCGTGAACAGATAGCTTAAAAAACTTCAATGCTTTTTGCAGAAATTTCAGTTTGGTAGAAAAAAGCTACTACAGACCGATTTATTCCATACCAGTAACTGATCAGTGTGATTATAACCAGCGATTAAGCGGTTTAAGAGATCAAGTATGATCAGCGGCTGTTTCTGATTATCCTGCTGCTTTGCAAGATTTAAAAAACTTCCCCGTTTGCCGTTACTCCTCCTTCTTCTCCTCTTCCTTCTCCTCCTTCTTTTCCTCCTCCTTATTTTCCTTTTTTTCCTCATCCTTCTTCTCCTCTTCCTTTTTTTCCTCATCCTTCTTCTCCTCCTCCTTCTTTTCCTCATCTTTCTTCTCCTCCTCCTTCTTCTCCTCATCTTTCTTTTCCTCCTCTTTCTTCTCGCCCTCACCGCCTTCCTAAAACATTTGTTAAATTAGTCAAAAGATCTCAGGCATTGTGCTAAATTTTGAGCAGTAAATGGGTGGTATGAATGTAAAAATTAATAGAAAACTGGAACTTTCCTTCTTTGAGCCACCGCCTCCGCCCTCCTCCTTCTTCGAACTCTTTTTCTCCTCCTGTAATAAACTCATTTAAACGTTTTTTTTTGGCTAATTGGAAGGAAATGTCTTTAACAAACGATTAGTTTGAAAGTTTATACGGCTAAAACGCTTCACAATCTACTTACCTCCTTTTTAGACCCTTCCTTTTTAGATCCTTCCTTCTTGGAGCCCTCCTTCTTTGAACCTTCTTTGTGCGACCCCTCTTTTTTCGACCCACCTTTCTTGGACCCTTCCTTTTTCTCGCTTTCCTT